GTGGTGTAGCAGAGTGTTTTGAGGCGAGAGCTGGCACGAAATAAGAGGAGGAGGAGGTGTTGCTGTGTTAGACACCTGTAGCACCTGTTAAACACCCGAGGCGCTGCGGTGTTAAACACCTGTGATAGTTGGGCGAGCGGATTTTCTTGTTATCTGTTATTTCTTAAGCAAGTACTTCACATATCGAATATGTATATAGATAATTAATAAAGAAATATGCTGGTTTGGCCTTTCAATCCTCCTAATTATATATATATATATATATATATATATATATATATATATATATATATATATATATATATATATTATATATATATATATATATATATATAATGATTCAATGATTTATAATGATTTAGGTTGTCATTAAGCTGCATTTTATCTCGACCATTCAGAGTAGTGACCTCCTCAAGGCTTCACGTTTTCTTCGTTCATTTAGGTAATCTTCTTGTTAACTTTCCTTCTCTGTCTCTCTCTCTCTCTCTCTCTCTCTCTCTCTCTCTCTCTCTCTCTCTCTCTCTCTCTCTCTCTCTCTCTCTCTCTCTCTCTCTCTCTCTCTCTCTCTGTCTCTCTCTCTCTCTCTCTCTCTCTCTCTCTCTCTCTCTCTCTCCCAATGCCAAGACACACGTGTACAGAGACGAATCTTATCAGTCTGAGTTAAGCTTCGAACGTTGCAATGATGGGTATGTATCGCCAGTTAGGGGAAACCCTGATAGTGGATAAGGAAGGGCAGGTGGACAGAAACACCTGTACGAAAACACAGCGAGACAAGTGTCATATGATTTTTATTCCAACTTAACACAAAATTAATTCAATACTAGAATTTATGATATACATGTTTACACACACCCACACACACACACACACACACACACACACACACACACACACACACACACACACACACACACACACACACACACACACACACACACACACACACACACACACACACACACACACACACACACACACACACACACACACACACACACACACACACACACACACACACACACACACACTCGTCTGCAACTGAAGGAAAAAACGACGTTTCGGTCGTTCCTTGAACCGTTTACACGACCAAATGGTTCGGGACGGACCGAAACGTCACTAATTTCTATATTTCCAGATTTGTAGGCTGGATGCCTAATTTCCTGTAGCATTATTATGACTTGCTATCGTGAAAGATAACGTTCATTATTTTGATACACAATTATATTCGTTTCGGAGTGATCAGTACTCCTGTCACCATGTTAGGAAATGTCGTATTTTCCACCGTATAAGACTCGTCAAGTTTACATAGATATTCTCATCAAGTTTACAAAGATATTTTGGGATAAAATAGTGTGTTTCTCCTCGGTTGCAAATACGATATGCAATCCGAGGTTGGGAAGAAGATTCCTATTGGACATTGAGAACAATATTTTATATAGGTAAGTGATTCATTTCTCTTTGACTTATAAGTATGTAGGGTACATGAGCATTTATACTTTATATTTATAAAATAAAACCAAACGTTATTTATAGAATTCATTGTAAAAAGTATTCATTATAAAATGCAAATGTTATATTGTATTCTTTACAAAAAAAAAATTATAATGTTGCGTCAGCTCATTATCCCTGTTTCGTTTCAACCAATTATATATACAAAATATGTTGTCAGATAATAATGATTTTGGTTCTTTTTAAATTATTTCAATGCGTACTCAAGGGGCCAGATTCATGAAAGCACTTACGAACCTGTACAGCTTTTCTCAATCTTTGGCGGCTTTGTTTACAATTATTAAACAGTTAATGAGCTCCGAAGCACCAGGAGGCTGCTTATAACAACAACAACAGTTGAATGGGAAGGTTTCATGCTTGTAAACTGTTTAATAAATGTAACCAAAGCCGTCAAAGATTGAGGAAAGATGTACACGTTCGTAAGTACTTGCATAAGTGCTTTCGTGAATCTGGCGGCAGGTTAGGTTCGTTCTCCCTAAGGCCAATCCCCAAAGATTCATTCGTAAATTTGAACTTACTGATTATTCAAAAATCTATATTTTTCGTATATAAAGGATTAATTTATTATAATTTCGTGTATAATTAAGCCGAGGTTAGGCTAGGTGTTTAGATTCTGTTGGCGATTATTTGTATTTATAGCCAGTGGATGAAGCATTTAGAGATGCGATTTAGAGACATTTAGATGACATTTAAAGATGCGATTCGAACGGAAGTCGTCAGCGAAGCACTGTTCGAAAAATGTTCAAACGCCATCAGTTTTGAGTCATGGATAAAGTGTTTTTTATTCATAAACATTTGACGGTGGGATTAACGAGCATTTAGTCAATGTTTATGAGGAGAGGCTAACACGAACATTGCTCTCCTGTTTCACCGAGTGAACACTGGCATCTGAAGCTTCGAACCAGCATTCTCAAGTTCACAATCACTCCACTAATGAACCCTTGGCAGCAACACAAGTCTTCCAACCTCGGTTGAAAACTTTTATCCTGTCACCCTGTTCACAATTTACACATCATGAGGCGTCTATTATAAGCGTTCATCGGATCATAAAGCAGGGAACAGCAATTAGCACGAAAAAATACTGTAACAATTAACATAAAACACAGGAACAATTATCATAAAATACAGAACAACAAATAGCATAAAATAAAAATCAACAATTGCTATAAACTTGAGCAACAATTAGCATAAATTAGAGCAACAATTAGCATAAAGTTTTTAGAGCAGCCCCGAGAGCTTCAGCTACTCAAGTCATTAAACACTGTTAACAGACAAAAGCTATTTTGTACTTAAAATTGAAAGTCAATCTGAGGTCATGGCCTCAGTTTGACCTCTTCCATAAAGACTTATAGTCACGTTCATTCCTACAATATGTGCGGACTGCCTCACCGATCCCGAAGCTGGTTCCCTTGGACGGAAACAACCTTATGTATTAACCAAGGTCGCTTGGCCTTGTTCATGTCGTGTTCTGTTCAGCTGAGCGTAATACGATGAACAAAAGGTGAGTGAAGCTATTGGTTGAACATGTGTGCATATGTTGTTTGCATTGATTTTGAACACTTAGTGTTCATGTGACTCCTACTTCAGGTTCTGTTTGGATATATATATATATATATATATATATATATATATATATATATATATATATATATATATATATATATATATATATAATATGTAATGTTGATAAGTTAATATCTGCTGAATTAATAACAGAGCATTAATAATTGAGACGTTCAGCAAGTGATCATCTCATTAGGTGTTCACTGTTCAAGCCCCTTTTGTTCTGTCATTAGCCTTGTGCTGATATGTTCACATAGCGATAAGTTATTTATGAAGAGATAATGTGATTTCACGTTTGCAAGAACACCTACGTATTCATGATATGCTATACCCTTTTCAATTCAAGATATTGACACCTTGATGTCCTGAAATGTTCACTCGAGCTCAATGGAACAAGAACAGTCCCTTTGAGACAATCGCTGGAGCGGCGTGGACATTGTACCAGCGTCCCGGTGACAACCAAACACACGTCATACCGCCTGAGCCAACTTCTTTGTTTTGTTCTATAATTCCCTTTCCTCGCCCTGCTTAGCTCTCATCCGTAAGGCCTTCCTCGGACAGGACTCATCTGTTTCCCTTGCTGGAGAGGCCGGAGGTCGGGTATGCCTGGGCGGCGGCGGGACTCGAGGCCATTCGGCTATTGAGCGTGTTCCATCGTCGAGTGAAGGTCACCCGGTAGCTCTCCAGCGTCCGCCCTTCCCCCTTCGGGCAGAAGAAGAGGTAGATGAAGGGATTCAAGCAGGAGTTGGAGGCCGAGATGATCCCACAGAGCGCCAGCACGTTGGGGTTGATCTGGTGCATGTCTCCGAAGGTCATGAGCAGCTCCTGCAACACAGGGAATGCATACAGTCCTAGTGGACCAAACTCTCACAAGTCAAGCCTGGACTCGGGCCGGGCTTGGGGAGTAGAAAAACTCCCAGAACCCCATCAACCAGGTATCAACCAGTCCCGGGTGGGCCCGAGGCTTGGGGAGTAGAAGAACTCCCAGAACCCCATCAACCAGGTATCAACCAGTCCCGGGTGGTTGTTTCTGCAACATAAGGAAAATAGACAAAAACACCCAAATGGACGCAGTATCGAGGAGCGACGCCGAGTCAACATCATCAACGTCGATTCATCGATGAATTAGCTCTCATGACGTTGATACACTATCGAACCGACGCCATTCTTGGATGATGTGCTCTCTGAGGGCAAATGATCATGGATTTAGAACATTGACACAGTACTAATGACTCGCAGACTGTTCCCTTCCACAATCTCTTTCCCTTTCCAATGTCCTCTTCCACAACTCCCCCTTCAACCATCCCCTTCCCCCCCCACCCCCCTCCTTCCTTCCCCCTCTTCCATCACCCCCTCCGATCTGCCTGGGACACCTGAACCATCATCAGAGGACCAATTTGCATAAATAACGAGACATCGGGGGAGGGAGACCAGAACTTTTAACGGAATGGGAGAATGCAGCTGGCGATCAGGTTTAAGCCATGAGTAAGCTAAGGGAAAGTGCAGTGATATTACTCTAAAAAAAAAAAACGTGTAATTTGCGAGCTCTTCAATCTGAAATCTGAAAGGCTTGAAATCTGAACTATTGAGTTAGACAATCCGGAAAATTATTTCTTTACTTGTGTTGTTTTGAGCAATTAAATTAGCCTTCCGAGGCCTAATACATGATATCTGAGGCGTAATTTAGTACATATGTGTGTGTGTGTTATTTCATGTAAATTAGGCCTAGGAATATATCAGTTTTTTTTTTTTTTAAGCTTCATTTATTTTATAATAATTGCTTACTAGTCAGTGTACTACTATTCTGAAAGCTAAGAACGTACACGTTCGTGACTATTGACGACCGTCACAATACAAGAGGCATCCATCAGTCACAATAGTCACAATGGGTACTGTCTAAACAGGAGGAGGGGTTGCAGCCACCGTTAACTCGGCCCCGTTCTCGACTTGCTGCTCCGTAAAAATATGCAACTGTTTGACCTGGCTAAGAATGAACGAAGGAAGGAAGGAACTATCGGGGGAAAACGCCAAGCCATTACGACTATGTAGCCCTTGGAAGGGACCAGGATAAGGATTTGGGATGGGACGGGGAAGAGGGAATGGTCCCACCAACCACTTGGACGGTCGGGGGATTGAGCGCAGACCTGCACGAAACGAGACCATCGCTCTACCGTCCAGCCCCAAGTGGTTGGACGATAGAGCAACCCACCTAACCAACTGAAGCTGATGCTCTGGAAATGTATCATATCTCGTTAATGTATCAGAATAATTATAATAATTTATTATATGTATCAGATATAATAAAGTGAATTATATCACTTAAATTCCATAGACCATGGAACAATTGAACCACGTTGTTTGTGGTCTTCTTTAGGTCATGGAACTCGCGGTCTATATGGTCATGGTTATAGAACAGAAGCCACGAGACCTTCACTAGCAATAAGAGGAATTGCTGTGGCTGCAAATTACCATTGTGATTGCAAGTACCATTGCAAATTATGACGTCACGTGACGTCACGAGGATATGAATAGGTGCAGAAGAAAAGCCACCTTACCTTGAAGATATTCATATAGACATATTCCCTAAGCGAAATAATATAATTTGTAAACGAATATCAGTATTGGTAGATAATTCAATATTTCATATATATATTAAGAATAGCAGAATAACAAATAGTTGTATTAATCCGTATTAAGCTGCTTGATCCGCCTGCTTGTCTCACGAACAGCGCAGGACGCTAAAGACACAACAACAACAGTCAGTCAGATCATTGCCTCGTGAACATACAGCCGGTGCTTCGCAAACTTCTAGGACAAGAGAAGCCAATTATATCCCATCCTACCGGTGCCTGGTTACCAGTATGAAGACACGAAGTGTTACATGATTGATAGAACACTGTAAAAGAGTTAATAGGGAGGTGAGCCGTGAACTAGTGACTAGACCATCCACCTATCATGACAGACACCTTCACTGTCACCACCATCAAGCACCATCAACAACCACCACCATCAACCACCACTACCAGCAAGCACCACCAGACCCGTGCGTCTCTCTACCACGCCACATAAACCATGAGTATTAATCTGGTTATTCAAATATGGGGAGCCCATTTAATTCTTGCTTGTAATGCTAACCTTTTAAAAAGAAACAATTAAGGGATAGTAGACGTGGTTAGAAAGGGCAGCCATCGTACCCAACTCAGGTACAACATGCACTTAAATATCTGTAGTAAGTGCTAATAAAATAATACCTGAAATTAGCATAATTTAATATCAAATCTTGTAAACAAAAAATTCTCAAGTACAGTTATATGGAAATTTACTTAAATAAATCTTGACTATATCTCACTCTTAACTTAAAAAAAAGAGTTAAGCTAGCAAAAAAAAAAATCCTAGCCAGCAGTTTGCAATAATTACATTTTTAATTAAACCTTTTAAAGATATTAATGATTGTTATTACGGCAAGAGAATATAAGTAGCATTCACCCTCCTATTCACGTACTTCCCCAGTCTATTGACAGACAGGCAACACACAGGAGAAGGGCTTCACTACACTAACAGCTAAAGCTGTTTTAATGATTTTGTTTCATAATTTTCTAAAATTGTTTAATGCAATACCCTCACAATTGTGATGCAGTACCCCCATAGCTGTGTGATACAGTACCTTACACCTGTGTGATACAGTACCCCACACCTGTGTGATACAGTACCTTACACCTGTGTGATACAGTACCCCACACCTGTGTGATACAATACCCCTACACCTGTGTGATACAATACCCCTACACCTGTGTGATACAATACCCCACACCTGTGTGATACAATACCCCTACACCTGTGTGATACAATACCCCCACACCTGTGTGATACAATACCCCACACCTGTGTGATACAGTCCCCTACACCTATGCGATACAGGACATGCAGGCGATGAGTCACAATAACGTGGCTAAAGTAAGTTGACCAGACCACACACTAGAAGGTGAAGGGACGACGACGTTTCGGTCCCTCCTGGACCATTCTCAAGTCGATCAATCGACTTGAGAATGTGTGGTCTGATACAGGGCATCTCACCTGTATGACGTAGGGGGTGTTGGTGATGAAGAAAGCCAGTACGATGACTATAGTCATGTTGAGGGTCTTCGTCTTGGCCTTGGGGAGGAGGCTGTTAGACCGACGGCTCTCACTGTTACCCCTCTGGCCGCTTCTGTAATGGGGAGTGACGCTGAGAGTAACACGAAGGGAAGATGAGGATGGGGAGGATTTAGTGGGGAGAGTCTTGTGGGTAGGATTTAGATGTTGGTGAAAGCTTAGGATGAACAAATATTAGAAGGAATAAAGAGCAAAGGTATATTGGCCCATTCGAAACAGATCCTGCTTTTATTTCTATTTATTTATTTATATATATATAGCATGCGCTTGAAATAACTGGGAGATGAATGAATATGCGTTACATCAGTGAGTTTTATGTGATTGTGTGTCCCCTGGTGTGGTGCCGGTGATGTGGTGGTGATGGTGTGGTACCGGTGATGTGGTGGTGATGGTGTGGTGCCGGTGATGTGGTGGTGATGGTGTGGTACCGGTGATGTGGTGGTGATGGTGTGGTGCCGGTGATGTGGTGATAGGGATGTGGTGCTACTGACGCCATGCTAAAGATGTCATAGTACTCACTTGAAATAAGAAGACTGTCTCCAGATGGTGAAATAGATTCTCAGGTAGAGGATCACCAGGAGGACCTGGCTGGAGATGAACACGAGCACCAGCACCACCATCAGGTACACCTGTCACGGGCACGAGAACAAGGTCAACACATCACCAGGTTACTAGGTCATCACCGGGGTAACAGGTCAACATATCACCAGGTTACTAGGTCATCACCGGGGTAACAGGTCATCACGTCACCAGGTTACTAGGTCATCACCGGGGTAACAGGTCATCACATCACCAGGTTAGTTACCAGGATATCACAGGATTTAGGCTGCAATGTTTTCAGGTCATTAGGTTAAAGTTTTTTTCACAGTATCAGATTATTAATTCTTTTATTGTCAGGTGACAAGGTAGATATTTTAATGTGATCCTGTACAAGAGGCTTCTACTCAACGTAGAGAAACTGGCTGATGTGTCGGAGTTTCTCTCCCTCACTCTTCGGTGGGTGAGGGAGAGTACCTCTCAGTGAGGAAACAAAGGGTTACGGTGAGAGCGGAGATATCTGAGTGGAAAGAGGTTACGTATGTGTGTGTACTCACCTAGTTGTGTTTGCGGGGGTTGAGCTCTGGCTCTTTGGTCCCCCGCCTCTCAGCAGTCAATCAACAGGACCACACACACACACACACACACACACACACACACACACACACACACACACACACACACACACACACACACACACACACACACCACCTTACCTTTCTAAAATTGTTGTCGAGCTCCTTGGTGTAGAACTTGGAGACACAGTACACTCCTCCCTCGGGCGTCACGTGTCTGTTGAGAGGTATACGAGACGTATGCACAGTGTGAGCAGTCAGAGTTCCCTGGATCAACACAGAGTGTCCTCTCAATCATTGCGCTAACGTCAAACAGAAAAGATGAATGAAGATAAGAGGTAAGAGAAAACTAGAGATAAAGAGACAGAGACAGCTCAGACTACCCCCCATGAGAGCAGGTAGCAGAAGAACTTGGCATATGTAGTGATAGTATTCAAGAGGTATTCTCTGCCTTCTCTCGTCTTAATACAATTGGTATTGCTGGCAGATAGAAGGTAGTGACATACTGCGTTTAAAATGCTATAATAGAGAGAGAGAGAGAGAGAGAGAGAGAGAGAGAGAGAGAGAGAGAGAGAGAGAGAGAGAGAGAGAGAGAGAGAGAGAGAGAGAGACAGGGAGAGAGACAAGTGACAGGTAGGTAAAGAGATGAGCAGACAGGTGGGAACAGAACGACAGACGTCAACTCAGGCGAGACAGTAAGAGACAGTATAATGAGCCATCCAGGTTCCTTCCATCCATCTAGGACAAAGAAAACCATTAAATTTACATACTAAACAGCTTTTCCAAAATTTACATTTAACTTTTTTGTGCATCTTAAATATTTAACAATATAATCATTTTCTGTTAATTTTTCATACTTTTTGTGAGTTTATTCATCTGAATGTGTATATACGTCATTTATGTATCTTCATAGACCAGGATGAGGATTCAACAAAGCATTTACGCAAACACCTATGAAACCTGTACATCTTTCTTGGATTATGGCCGCCTTGTTTACATTTACTAAGCAGTTTACGAGGTCTGAAACTTGACCACCTAAGGTAATTATTGTTATAAACAACCTCTTAACACTTCAGAGCTCGTAAACAGCTTAATAAATGTCAACAAACGGCTTTATATTTGCGTCACTTTCTCTGCAATAATTGCTTCACTTCTATGCATAACTCTACAATAATTGCTTCACTCCCTATGCATAACTCTGCAATAATTGCTCCAATTTCCCCATTTACCTCTACAATAAAATGCTTCACCTGCTCTACATGCAACTGTGATACTTGTATTTGATACTTGAAGGTTGATACTTCAACCTTCAAGTATCATACTCCAATTCTTTCTAGTGTATGAATTCGTAGTTATATGATTAGGATAACCTTTCAGGATGATTTTCCCTCTAGTCACATACCCACTGGTGCTGCCCCCACCAGCGGTGTTCCACACGACATCATACAGTGACTCACGCTCTCATAAACTCGCGGTATATAGGTTCCAATGGCACGAAAGAGCATTTAGCACAACCCATCCTCAGGGTATGCTTGACCTACTTGAAGGTTGATACTTCAACCTTCAATAGCATTCCACTGCCTTGTGCTGGAGACTAAAGGATGCGAGATGAGTCGGGGGGTGCTGTGTCTCCGAGTTCCATCCAATTAGCGGAACAATACCAGAGAAGTGTTGATGCCTTCCGCGCTGATCCAATTAGAGGAGCCCCATAGGAGGGAACGGGACGCCTCGGACGTTAATCCAATTTCGGGAACAGTTGAGATAGAATGAGGAAGATGAAGGACTTGAGGAGATGAGTTTTGTGCTCACCTGGTTGCACCGTCCAGCTCCAGCTCTTGGGTCTCGCCTCTTAACAACAAACTAATGGTGGATGAGATCCAGATCTCACTGAACATCACACCGGATATCGACGACGTCTCTACCGACGTCTCACCCACCCAACCGAGGGAAAAGGAACTTTCAGGAGAAAACGCCAAGTCATCACGACTATGTAGCACTGGGAAGGGGTCAGGATATGGACCTGGGATGGGACAGGGGGGAAGGAATGGTGCCCAACCACTCGTACGGTCGGGGATTGAACGCCGACCTGCAGGAAGCAAGACCGTTGCTCTACCGTCCAGCCCAATTGGTGGGGGCTCACGCCACCTAGAGCACCAGAGTCTTACTGGAGTGTGTATCAAGACATTCTTCAAGACGGAGAACACGGGAGTGAGGAAACTATAGCTTCTTGATACAGTGTGGTCAACATTACGGGTCAGTGGCGTGAGTTGGGAGGGAATATACGATCCAAAAAGTAATTAAACGCAATTAAATAATTTAATTACTTGAGCTGCTCTGACGATTTTTATCCAATGAATTTTTACGACCACTTTACAATTTACAAATCGGATATACGTTTGTTATTTTTTTTAAATATTAATGTTTGTAATTTGAAATAAACTAAAAAAAATTATTGTCCGTTTTCTTTCAACGGGACCCAGGAGGTGCGGCGGACCTTAAGCGACCACTCAATCTTTACCTGGCTGGCGCGGAAATACTCCACAGAGTCGTTCGCTAGTAATCTCGAACTACACCGGTCGAACTTGAGTAACCCCTAGCAGACATAAGTGCAAAGTGACTGTAAAGTGTTCATGCCTATTCAAAGTTAGAGACAGAGGGAATAAATCATCAGTTTAGACATCGAAATTAAACTGTTCAATTGATTTGAGGCTCCAGAATGGTCTGTACGAGTTACAGGCCCAATCGCCTCCGCTCTCTAGACCCGGTATATACACGACTGTAAGAATAAGTGCTTAGAACCCTGACAAACTGAGGGGCAAGTGCTAGGTGTGTGACCTCATTAAGTGCTGCAAAAGTTATGGAAGGAAGGCATTCGGTTTTAAACAAATTTAAAAAATTTAGTGTCTGGATTCAAGGTCATGTAGACAATCAGTATAAACATTTCTGAGTAACACTTCAAGTACCATCAACCCGCTCATTACCTCGCAACACACGCTCTCTGTTGCTGTATTTGGTAAGTACTACTGTGTTGTGCTGGTACTACTGTGTTGGGCTAGTACTACTGTGTTGTGCTAGTACTACTGTGTTGTGCTAGTACTACTGTGTTGTGCTAGTACTACTGTGTTGTGCTAGTACTACTGTGTTGTGCTAGTACTACTGTGTTGTGCTAGTACTACTGTGTTGTGCTAGTACTACTGTGTTGTGCTAGTACTACTGTGTTGTGCTAGTATTACTGTGTTGTGCTAGTATTACTGTGTTGTGCTAGTACTACTGTGTTGTGCTAGTACTACTGTGTTGTGCTAGTACTACTGTGTTGTGCTAGTACTACTGTGTTGTGCTAGTACTACTGTGTTGTGCTAGTACTACTGTGTTGTGCTAGTACTACTGTGTTGTGCTAGTATTACTGTGTTGTGCTAGTACTACTGTGTTGAGCTAGTACTACTGTGTTGTGCTAGTACTACTGTGTTGTGCTAGTACTACTGTGTTGTACTAGTACTACTGTGTTGTACTAGTACTACTGTGTTGTGCTAGTACTACTGTGTTGTACTAGTACTACTGTGTTGTGCTAGTACTACTGTGTTGTACTAGTACTACTGTGTTGTACTAGTACTACTGTGCTGTGCTAGTACTACTGTGTTGTGCTAGTACTACTGTGTTGTACTAGTACTACTGTGTTGTGCTAGTACTACTGTGTTGTGCTAGTACTACTGTGTTGTACTAGTACTACTGTGTTGTACTAGTACTACTGTGTTGTGCTAGTACTACTGTGTTGTGCTAGTACTACTGTGTTGTGCTAGTACTACTGTGTTGTGCTAGTACTACTGTGTTGTGCTAGTACTACTGTGTTGTGCTAGTACTACTGTGTTGTGCTAGTACTACTGTGTTGTGCTAGTACTACTGTGTTGTGCTAGTACTACTGTGTTGTACTAGTACTACTGTGTTGTACTAGTACTACTGTGTTAAATGCAAACCCCTATTTAGTTCATATATTTTGGGGAAAAAAATCGTTCATTGAATTTGGTGAGAAAATGGGTTTCGTTACATTATTTCAGTTGAAGTTCACGTTTCCAGGAACACATCTCGGACGTAATTGAAGACTTACAGTATATTAATAATAATAAATACGGTATATAGATACACTAAAATTTTCATTAAGAGATAGTGGCCATGTCACTGATGACGATTAATGGTGAGGAGGAGGACGTAGTAGCATACTCCTATACTTTCCAGTATATGAATTCGTAGTTATATGATTAGTATAACCTTTCAGGGTGATTTTATCCCTCTAGTCACATACCCACTGGTGCTGCCCACACCAGCGGTGTTCCACACGATAACATACAGAGACTCAAGCTCTCATAAACTCGCGGTATATAGGTTCCAATGGCACGAAAAAGCCTTAGCACAACCCATCCTGAGGGGTATGCTTGACCAATCAGCGGCTGTGTGATTCCCAAAGACGCATTCGGTCAATTTTTAACGTGTGAAGCAGCGAGTGGCCTTCAGAAACCCCCTACAGCACTACCCTGCATGACTGTTTTCCCTACGAACATTGCCGGTGTTATCTTGAGAGTGTCGTTTAGGACTCGAGGAGCAGAGTGGAGGAGGGTAGAAATTACTTAAGCTACTCTATCCCTTTGAGATGTATTTTTATGCAGGCGATGAGGCACAATAACGTGGCTAAAGTATGTTGACCAGACCACATACTAGAAGGTGAAGGGACGACGACGTTTCGTTCCGTCCTGGACCATTCTCGACTTGAGAATGGTCCAGGACGGACCGAAACGTCGTCGTCCCTTCACCTTCTAGTGTGTGGTCTGGTCAACATGTATTTTTATTGTCTCAGTAAACGTACTTGAACTCGAGAAGCAATCGGGTTGCGACACTCGGCAATTTGTTTTTTATATTGGTATTTTATGGGTAAATAGGTTGATAGGTATAGGTAAGGGTATTTTCTAAAATTACCTTTGCGCTCAAAGACGCTTTAAAACACACTAAATGAGTAACCTCAAAGCAACTTACCCTATGCCTAACATCACCTACTCTAGGTCTAACCTAACCTAACCTAACCTAACCTAACCTAACATCACCTACTCTAGGTCTAACCTAACCTAACCTAACCTAACATCACCTACTCTAGGTCTAACATAACCTAACCTAACATCACATCACCTACTCTAGGTCTAACCTAACCTAACCTAACCTAACCTAACCTAA